TATACTGTATTTGCAACTCTTTTGTAAGTTTAAGGTTCTTTAAACATTAAAGAAAGTTCTACTCCAATGTAATGATTTAAATAGTTCCTTCAGATAATGTTCTACTTTAAGGCAAAAATACTCTACTTGACCCTTCCTTCAGCTCCTCATCCTGAGATTATCTGGGAGTTAGAAGTGCTCTATGTGCCTATAAGGAAGGGAATTACATTAACACCATGATTTTGAGGAAGGCAGGAGAATTATCAGATCCATGTTGTTTCCTTGTGCCACCTGCTGGTTCCTCTGGTCTGTGAGGCATTATCTCTCATCACTGGGCATGGCTGTCTACTGTCATCTGGTCTTTCTCTCTTGGGTTGGTGATTGCCTAGTGATGCTCCATGGCTGCCTCCACGAACGTGCTCTTGCCAGCCTCTTGGACCCTTCTGAATCTTTGCCACATCCCCTACCCAGCATCCTGACACAAGCAGTCTGGCCCCAGCCTCTACCGTGGAGTTTCCTCTTCCATTCCTCTGTGGCTCTGTGGCAAGCATCTCACATCAGTATTTCTGAGACCTCACGCTAAGAGGTGGTACAATTGTATGCCTGTATGAGCCTCTGGCCTCATGGACCTACGGGTTCTTCAGCTCATCTAAAAGTGATTAGCTTTTACATGGAAATAAGGTGGTGTATTCTAAATGAGGATTTAGAGATGCTTAGGAAAACTAAATTTCAAGGCCTCTTTCTAATTGTATTGCCAAATGTATTCTGATATGGTTGGTATGGGAAATTAGTCCAGCTCTTTCTAAGGCCTTAAGGACAGATTTTCACCTAGGTCACACGCTCCTGCCTGCCCACAGCTGCCTGAGGCTGAGTCTTCACTGTGGGCAAAAGTCATCATCCATGCAAGAGATATTCTCAGGCTTAGTTATTAAACCTTTTGTCTTGGTATAGAGCTCAACTTCCTGTCCTGGGGCAATAAATTGCACCTTGATCTTAAGTGTTTGCATTACCAATCTTCGGCAGCTTTCTTGTTAGTTAAATGGAAATATTAAAGATAAAAATCTAAATTTACAAAATACTTTTCTTGATAGTGTCATATTAAAAGGGGTAATGAACTTGAATAGACACATAAATGATGCAGCATACTTTAGTAAAAAGAAAATAGAGTAGGGCAATAGGAGAGTGGACTCTAGTTACCTCATTGTCACTAATGAACTTTATGACTTTAGACAATATGTTTTCTGGGCCTTAGTTTCATCACGTGTCAAATGAAAATAATAATATCCATCTATATCTAAAAGGATACAATAGCACTAAGGGATTTAAATGAAATTTTAACTTTAAAAAATATTTAGTTGCTATATAAATTTAACATTATTAAATTTCCTAGATTTTTTTATATCATTCTTAGAGTCCACGCATGAGAACATTTTTTGAGAATAATTAAAAATAGGTCCATATAATACATGATTAAAGCCCCTGGGATAAATTCAGTCCCTTAATGAAATCTGCTGTAAAGAGACTAAGAGCATTATTCCAATTAACTCTTTTAATGCCTGATTAACTGAAGAAAGGATAGCTTATGAAAGTAACAAGCAAAATGTTCAGGCAGTGGTGTATTTTGGGAGAGGAGGGGGCGCAATGGAAGTAACCCCTACAGAGAATTTTAAAACAACATTAAAACCAACCAGAAGTCAATCTACTGTTTATTACTACCATGTGCTGGTGACTGTAAAATGTATCAGCTCTGCCTCCTCCCTTGGTCATGTCACTGTGTTAAGGAATAGAGATAGAACTTCATTCCTACCAGAAGAATCCACAGGCCACAGGATATAATTCCTCTTTACACTCACACACACCCCATTAACCAATACCTGATTGAACTTCCTGACCCAAGATCCAGAGGATCTTACAAGATTTCGACAGAAGATATTCTACAAAAGTTGGTGCTCTGTCATGCTGACTTGTGGCATAATATGAAAAGATAAAACTCAAGGGAGGCAAATGTCTCCTGAAAATGTGAAGAACTGGCTTTGATTGACGGTGAAATTATATAAAACTCCTTTTATGTGGGTGACTATATTTGTCTATGACTTGTTTTTGCTTCATATTTTAGTTTTGAAATATTTTCTTTCATTGCTTCTCACTAAGGAAACTATTCTTTTTCACTCTCCACAGTCAAACCAGCTAATGAATCATTTATAACTTGCCATTAACAGCCAAGTTCTAATTTTTATATCTAGATATAATCTCTATGTCTTTTTCAGTCACAGCTTATAAAATGTGTTAGTGCTCTGAGGTTTCTTTTAAATCTCCAGAATCTGCAAAACTCAAGTACAAATCTAAACATGAAACTGAAAGCTTTATTATGGAAAGTAATTAATAACTAGGTGTTTTTAAGGTATTTCTTAAAAGAAAAAATATGTATTTGCAAGCGTATTGGGGTTTCTTGTTTTTATTGCAGGCACTGTATTTTTCATATTGAGAACTTATTCACCCATTATGTCCATCTTTCTTTTTAAATCTGTAAACATGTATAAGTGATGTTTTAAGTACTTGTTTGCTAATTCCAGCACCTTGGTCATCTCCGAATCTGTCTCTATTGACTCTATGACCATCCACCACTCCCTTTTATGGGGTCATAACTTTTGGCTTTTTTAAAAAGATAAATATCTAGTAATATTTTATTGTGCCCTGGACAATTGAAATGCTCCAGTTTTGAAAGTCTAGATATTTTTCTTCCTGGAAGGACTTTTAAATTTTGTTGTGGCAGGCAGAAATTTACTGGCAGATTGGCTGGTTCCCTTTGAGGCTTATTTTTAAGCTTCATTAGGTGGGGTCTTGTGTAGCCCTTAGTCTAGAGCTAAAGTCTTTGGGAACCATCAATAGAAGGCTCACAGTATTTATTCAGCTCTCCTTGCTCTGGAGGGTTAGAACTTCCTGCATACTGTGGGTCCTTCAGAATCTCTCTTGAGGAGGATACTTGGTTGGTGTTAGGTTTGTTCCAGGTGGGAACCTGAAAAGTATGTATAGGACAGAATGCAGTTAATGGAAAACTTAGGCTTGTAAAACAATAGCTGCAGGAATCTGGAGAGTCTCTGGAACGCTGTAAATCTAGCAGTCAGCTGCAGCCAGCATTCCTTTCCCCACCCTCCCCAAAGGGATGAAGTCTATCCTTCCATATCTCTCCTGATAAGGACAATGGGAACTGAAGGATGGATGTGACTGGGGCAGGAGTCCTAGAAGCTGGTTGTTTAAAAAAATTTTATTACAACGGTTGTTCTGGCCTAGGTCACTCGCTCCCCACCAGAGAAATGCTCCATAAAACCCAAGGCTTTCCCTTCTCTCAGGGTGGAAGCTCTTTGGCCTCCACCCATCTGTACCCAGATGCTCAAAATAAAACAGCATTTTGCTACACATGAGTCCTCATGTGTTTCTTTCTTGGCGCTGGACCTAACAGTTGGGTCCAGCAGCTCTTTTTTACCAGGTCTCATTGAGTCTCCCTGTGCATAAGGTATTAATAACATTGCATTTGGCCAAAGACAAGAGGACTTCTATGTAGATTTTGAGCTCCTTCTCTGTGCAACTCCTCCTTTCCAGGACCCTGCCTCATAAGCCCCAGTTGCCTGACCACCCCAGATGCTGACCTCTGCTCTCCAGCTGGAGCCCCTCTCCTTTCACCCCTTCTGACAGGTCCCAGGCTAAAGGCCACTCATGATGGAGCTAACTTAATGCATTTTTCTTCTCTTAGTAATCATGCCCATTGTCCAACATTTAAAAACTTTTGCTTTGCTTGTTATGTCTATTTTTCATGTATGTTTAAAGCATGAATCTAGACCTGTCAGGACCAAAACTCCAAGACTAGTTTTTTTTGCTTTTACTTCAGTTTTAAATGTATTCATAATTTTTTTTGCATATTTCTTATTGACCTTTTTAAAAGTATTATCTGTAGCATCGTTTTGAAAAATGTCTTCCATGAAAAAATAAAATGGCTTTTGTTAGGTACGGAGCCAAGAGAGAGACACACGAAGCCTCATGTGTAGCAAAATGCTGTTTATTTTGAGCATCTGGGTGCAGATAGGTGGAGGCGAAAAAGCATCCACCCTGAGAGAGGGGAAAGCCTTGGGTTTTACAGAGGGTGTCTCGGGGCGGAGCAGGGCTGGGGGTGAGTACCTGGGCCAGAACAGCTGCTGCAATAAAAATTTTTTTTAAACAACCAATTTCTGGGAGCCCTACCTCGGTCTCATTCTGTAGAGATAAGGGAGGGGGGATAGGAATGCTGGCTGCAGCCGTCTGTTAGATTTACGACGTCCAGGGACTCTCCAGACTCCTGCGGCTACTGAGTCACAAACCTTAGTTTTCTATTAACCGCACTCCGTCCTATGCATACTTTTTTGAGTTCCCACCTGGAACAAACCTAACAGCTTTGTCATAAAGTAGCTTGAGAAATGTATTTTTCTTGACAGAGGGACACCTCAGAGCCAAAAAAGCTGATACGGATTACACATTTTCAAGGAGCTATATTATCTGCATTTTTCAAATTCATTCAACCACAGAATCCATTTTTAATAGATTGTCTGTGGGAGTAATAGGGAATGGATTACTTTTTTGGGAAGTGGTGCTCTGTGGATGCTATTTATTAATTTTATTAAAAATTTATATGCCTAATTAAAAAGCAAGCATGGTTATAAGTATCTTTTAAATTAAGTTTTAGATGGAATGGAAGCTTAGATTCTCCCTTGTCTTTCTTACATCCTTCCACTCAAAATCATTCCAGAAAGTTCTCAAGAAATGTATGAAGATTTACATGTACATAGACATAGGTTCCCAATGGTAAGTTTTCAGGTGGACTCTTTAAACATTTTATGCATCATGAAAAAAGGAGAGTTTTAGAGGGAGAAGTACAATTTTACACTATGAAAACATGTATTTCATTTTGACATTTTTTCCAAAAGAAAAAGGTATTTTAGACACTATAAAATAAAGCCAGCACTTTTTATTCTGTGAAGTTATCATCTTATCATGCTGTTTGATAAATGAGGTGTCACTAAAGATGTGAGAATGATGAGCCTTCAACAGCAGCAGCAGCAGCTGGAGCTCTTCTCTACCATTAATAATTAAATTATTTAAGTGTTACAGACAATCCTCCTCTTCCAACACACTCACACAAAGCTCTGGCTACAGCTGACTGGGGGGGGGCATCTCCTTACTGCCACATGTCTAAGAATTTTACAGAAACAGCAGATGCGTTAACAGGTAACAGATGTGAGGACACTTGACTGAGCTGAGATTCATGACCCAGGCACAATTTGATTCTTTAGTTAACTTCTGCCAAGCAGCTCCCCTCTCTGGACTTTCGTTTCTCTAGTAGGGAAATGAGTTCTTTGGACTAGATGATTTCAGAGCTTTCTTCCAGCTCTTACATTCTGCAAATCTTGTTGAATAACTCTACGTTGACTAAACAGCAGTAACAATGTCATTTCTGCAAAGCATTACCTCTCTGTCTGGAAGTAGGGGCAAAGTGTTCTAAAAAACAATGGAAAATATGGCTGTCAAGCAATTTGTACTTTCATTTTAGCTTTATACCTGTAAACAGAAAAATTCTTACTCTTCAAATGTGGCCTTCAAGACTTAAATAATTCTAATAATCACAATCAATTTGTCATCTGTCAAAACCTCCCATTTTAGTTGTTGTCAAATGACAAAGGTGATGGCTTTTCTCCTGAAACTTAATTCTGACTTTGATTCCTACTGATGGCAGAAGATTATAAGGCAGGAGAGAGGTTTTTCCCCAAAGAAATAATAGAATTTTGCAGAGAACCAGAACAAAGGTGTTTGAATCCCTAAATGAAACCAGGAGAAAAAAAAATAAGTCATTCTGATTTCAGTTGCTAACAAAGGCATAGAGAGAAAAATCCAGTTGCTATGTTACTTCTCCATAAGCTAGGCTCAGCATAAAATGAAAAAGGATTTCCTGATACAGTTCTACATTCTCTTTAATTGCATTATTGGTTTAGATTACAGCAGAAGGGAAGAATCAAAGATCAAAGACTTTGTTTTCCCTGTAGCCTCAAATGCACCTGTACTGTATCTATATGAATGAGTGATACACATGGACACCTACTGAGATTTTCTGTGTTTTTCTCCTACCCGAGGGGCTAGGTGAACTTGGAGAGTTGCAGGGTGTAGCACCAGGGACTGTGCTACCTTAGGCAATGCATTATCTAGAGCTGTGGAGAGTGTTACCAGAGGGCGGTCCAGATGGGAAGCTGAGGCTTACAGGTAGAGATGCAGCAGGAGGGCCAGGCCTGAGGGGCAAGGAGTCTTAAGCTCTAAAGCAAGGAAGATGAGGAATGGATTGGAAAGTGGAACATGAGGTAGGTCAGGGCAAGTGGTTCAGAAAGGAAACCATGAGGAAGATGCAGGGACCTGATGTGCGTCTTTATGCATTACTTTGGCTAACTAGTCACTCGGGTTAGGTGGACCCCACCTTCCATTCCTTCTGATCCTTGCCCACTTAACTCTCAGCCTTAGAATGGGAGGCAGAGATGTGCTTTCTCCTGCTGCATTATTTTAGCTTTCTCATTTTGAAATCTTCAACAGCACAGTAGCTAAGTACACAGACTTTAGCAAAGAACTGCGACTTACTGACGACATGATTTGGGGCAAGATGCTTAATTCCTCTGAACTCCAGTGTCCTCCTCTGTAGAAGAAGGATAATAAAGTTAATAAAAATAAAATATGTGAGGATAATAACCTTAACCTTAAGGTAGTAATGAGTACTAAATGAATAAATACAAGTAAAGCACCTAGAATCTGGCACATCAAGTAGAATGTTAGAACCACTATGGTTACATCCTATTGTCCCTAGCTTGGGCCGCTTCCAGTACTACTCTTAGCAGCTACTAGAACATAAGCTCTATGAAGGCATGGAGCATGTCCTTCAGGTTCACAGTTGTACCTCCAGCCTAGCAGAGAGCCTAGCATATGGTAGGCACTTCGTAAATATTTGTTGAATGAACTAATGAATGAATAAGTGAAATAAACCGAGCAGAACTCCTGGACAGCCTGCTAAGGTATCTGTGAGGGAGGGTTAGGCACACATCAAATCACTAGCGTACCCCAGGACAAAGGCTCTGACCCTGCCTGGTTTGTCAGAGACTGACATATGCCTGATCATTCCTTTTATATGGTTCTGGTTATACAGGCAAACATATTTGCCTTTTATCACTGTTTCCAGCACTTTGGTCCAAGTCTCTTTTATATGTGTGTGGGAGTATAACACAGATCTCCTTTTAGTATTTTCACATAAACATTTTTAAATTCATGGTGCTGGGCCAATAGAGTAGTAACATCATTTTGTCCCATCTCCAGTATTATTCCCCAAAGACACCAATTACAGCAGCCATTTCTGTAATTCATCTGCTCTTCCATAATAGATATTATGTGTACACAGATAACTCATTATCCCAACACAAATTTTCCATACTGAGTTCAGCCACTCCAAATCTCACTTAAATGCCTTCCTGTGGAACAACTGACACATTTTAATATCTCTCTCATGGGGCTTCATTTCATGTGCAAGGAAAAGAGAGAAAAGATGAGAAACTAGAAGAAGGCATGGCAGTGGTGGTGCAGACAGCAGGCTCAGGGGTTGAAGAGGGTGGTGGAAGAGGAGGAAGTTGAGTATTAGAGAGGAGCTAGGGAAAGAAAGGAGGTAGGAAGGAAGGCAGCCAGTCACCATCAACATGCAGTTCATACTTATTATGTACATATCCCTTTTAATGAATTTTTTTTCTTTTTTAAAAGTTGCTCTCCACCATGATATTGTAGACTCAATGATGATGCAGATTTGTTTCATTCCAAGACTCTAACACAGTCTTTGGCATATAGGAAATTCTTAAAAGTTTTGAATGGATGATTGAACAGGAGGATGGATGGATGGATGATCAGAATATAAAAGAGAAGAGAGATGAGCAGAGGTTATTAAATAGAAGCTATCAAAGTGTCTAATTTCCCCAGCACTTCCTGAGACTAATCCCAGCTGGGAGTCTGCTGGGATTCTCGGACTGAAGGAGCCTCTCCCCTGAGAAGGAGAGGATGGAGGGAGGCATGAATGTTATATTCAGTCAGAAGGTGGAGCTCAGTATGATAGGGACAGAAGGCCAAATATATCACTAATGGGAAGACAGGATCAATATCTAAATCTGAGTTTGAAAAGAGAAGCTCAAAAAGAAGTGAACAAATAGTTCAGGGTACTTCCCAGAAACAGATAGTGCTATTTCATCAGATTTGATGTGTCTATCTCAGGAGGATTCACGAGAAAACTGAATCTTTTGTAGAGTCAGGAATGAGGCAGACATTCCCATGTCCAGAAGTCTCCTTCAGACTCATCCCGAGGTAGAGGCACACATTCCAGGGTACTTGTTCTATCCGTACTCTCTCACCATCTAGGATTTTAAAGTCCTGAGGCTGAACATGGTTTTGGCAAGAGTTCAGAAGGCCTTTGACAACATGTTCAGGTCACTCATCTTAGATTTGGGGATCTAGGAGACACACAGAACAGGGTCTTAACTGGCTAAATGGAGCAGGAAGTGGTGAAAACAGGGTAGACAAAATAATACAGGTGGGGGGTTGGTGCTGCAAATTGTAAACCTACAGAGTTGACTACGTATATGAACTTGAAAGACTCAGGTCACAGTCCTCCAGTTTTCAGCAGATTCAAGAGCTTCTTGTGTATCTTCCCATCCTAGATTCCCTGCTGACACTTTCCCTATTCTTTAGTGCAGGGAAGAGTATATTCTGCGTCCTCTTAATTATCTTGAGACTTCCAGGAACCCTCTGGCTGCTGAGGAGGTGGTAGCGTTTGTTGTAGTGAGCTAAAGCTAAAGCTGTAATGAATACTTTTGAGAGAGGATGATCTGTGTAGAGAAGTGGGGTACATTATTATAGGCAAAGCCTGCAGCATCAGGGTTGATTGGTTAGTCCTATTATCTTCAAAAGTTTAGGGCCCAGTTGACCACTCCAGGTTGTTTTTGGCTTGGAAGAGGTGCACGATGAATAAGTTAGCATGGATGCATGAGCCCAAACTCAGAAAACACTTTCCAAAACAAGAGTTTAAACCAGGCATCCTCAAACTACGGCCTGCAGAGGACATTTATCCAGTTCACAGGGTGTTTTTGCTACTGCTGCCTGTCCTGCTTAGCAGTCGACTTGACCCTGACCCACAGTGCGCATGTGTGGAATGTGAGCCACACTCTCCAACGGCCCTCCAATGGTCTGAGGGACAGTGAACTGGCTCCCTGTTTAATAAGTTTGAGGACCCCTGGTTAAACCAATGGGCATGGTCAGAGATCAGCTAGCTGTGCAGTCTGTTCATGGAAATAAATCTTTTTGATGATGAGAGTTGTGATGGATGACACTGATGGGTAAGAACAGGATATGAGTACCCACAAAATATTCCACTTTGGGGAGAGAAGTTTCACATCATTAGGAAGGTATCATGGCCATCAGGAAGCAGAGTACTCAAAATGTATCTTTTTGATAGTATCTCAGGATGTTTGAGATGAGTGAAAATGCAGCAGGTCTTCATGGCTCCCTGGACCATCTCTAATATAAAAGTGTCTATTCCAAATACTTGTGTGTTTTTGAAACATGCCCATACAAGAACCTAAGATCACATTTTGGTCTTTTAAAGGCTTGGTGACCTGAGATTCTGGTAGAGTATCATAGCTCCTGAGTGGGTTGCCTCTGGGTGGCTGTGAATTTCCATCAGGCATTGTTATGCACGTGCATCAGTGGTGGCCAGGTTTGGATTGTCTTGCTTTCCTAGAACTGGGGTAGGATAGATGACTACAAAGTTCTCTAGAAAAAAGATTTCTCTTGGTGTGACAATCTCAGCTATTTCCAAGTTTGAGGGCTTTTGCGATAAGGTTTCTGCCCATCAATTTTCTTTGGAACAAATATAAGGGAGAATTTGAATCAAAGAACTCACACCACCTGGTATAGGGCATTTTCAGTGTTAATGGCCTCCAGTCAAAGAGCACCAAGAACACACCTGTAATTGAACAAATTGGGTTTATTACTTATTGAAGTGAGGGATACTGCCACCATGGGGGACTGTGCCTCAGTTAAGAGTATTAGAAAAGATTTATAGGTTTTAGTCAGGCGATTTTGGAGAGGGTTCCAGGAAATGTGGATTTGCTCAGACTTGGGTGCTGCTAGGAAGCAGAAACAATTCTATGGTTGGGTATCTTAATAAATCTTATCTAGAAGCAGGGTAGATTAAAGATAGAGCTGTAATTGAAAAGAAAAAGGCATCAGTCACTCATGTTAGCCAGTAGATGGGGGTGTTTGGTATTTTGTAGTTTGCATGAAGACCTCGTTTTTGTTTGTGCTTAAAAATTTATGAATTGTTCTTGTTTAGTCTCACTCCATCATGGTCACAAAGTGACCTTGTTTGATACTGGTGTTCTGTGAAATTGTTTGTGTCCAACGGGAGAAAAACATGGTCTAGCTATGAGCACCAGGCCTGATCTTAATAACAATGAGGGAGGCTTAGCTGTGTTAGTTCAGCTTCCCCATCTTAGAAACCTATTTTTTCTTTCACCAGGCTCGTCACAATTATTATAGGTTGCAATGGTTCAGTTTGATTCAGGGAGCATAATTCACCTAGATATTTCAAATGAAGAGACTTTAAAGAAGGGGCTACTTCCAGAGATGTGGGCCAGGTTAAGGAAACAAACAAGTAAAGGTGAGGAACCCGGAGACCAGCAACAAGAGCAATCCATTACAAATGCCATAATGCCCCCACCCTGGAGCTGATGGGATAAGGGCAGTAATTACTTTTACTGGAACCCAGTGAGAACTAGGGCCTTAGAGGAGTGGCTGCCCTCCAGAAACAAGAGTTTTAGAGACATGCAGCAACTGTCAGGAATGCTTTTGGTGGAACAGGAGGGATGGGAGAGAAATATCCCACCCTTCTCTCTCCTGCTAGTGCCTTCCACTGGGTGAACACAAGCGGAAGCTAGGAGCAAAGGTTAGACAGTCAGAGCTTCCTTGGGCATATGGCAGAGCATAAAAGAGCAGGAAATCAATATGGAAGTGGGTATGGATGATGAAAAATAACCAGCACAGCTTCTACATCAGGAGTTAGCTAGGCAGGTGTTGGTAGGCAAGGAATGACCAAGATATAATTCAATTGTATAAACCATAGTTGTAGATAATGTGGAAGGATGCTGATGTCCTGAGTTGGTATGGGTCACTTATTCAAGTTCAAGTGTACCAACTAATTGTCCTGCCAACCCACTGGTAATTAAAGACATAGTCTTTGGGCTGGGCGCAGTGGCTCACGCCTGTAATCCTACCACTCTGAGAGGCTGAGGTGGGTAGATCGTTTGAGCTAAGGAGTTCGAGACCAGCCTGAGCAAGAGTGAGACTCTATCTCTACTAGAAATAGAAAGAACATTTTTAGCTGGACAACTAAAAATATATAGAAAAAAAATTAGCCGGGCATGGTGGAGCATGCCTGTAGTCCCAGCTACTCAGGAGGCTGAGGCAGTAGGATTGCTTGAGCCCAGGAGTTTGAGGTTGCTGTGAGCTAGGCTGATGCCACGGCAACAGAGTGAGATTCTGTCTTAAAAATAAAATAAAATAAATAATAAAAAAAACCACATAGTCTTTGGATTTGAAGGGGTTAGGACA